AAGCACTCCGTGCTAAACTGGAAACGAAAAATATATTGATAGAACAAAAAGAAAAAACTTCTGAACGGCTAGAAGCAGATTTAAGGATCGAAAAGAACAAAGTGTCAGATCTTCGCGATAACAATAGAGTAAGCATAATTTTTTCTTGCTTTTAATAGCACTAAATTGAATGCGTTATTTCCTTGATTTCGGACGAATCACCGTTGAATTTAAACCTAATTATATGAAATGTTAATATATTTACATACAGAATTATGAGCAAAAAATCAGTCAGTTGTTGGCGCGGATTGATGCTATGGAAAGTCTACTGCATGAGAAAGAAAATGAGCTGGAAAAAGTCAAGCAAAAACTTCTGACAAATCCGGACGTGCAAAAGGAAGAAGAGTTGCAGATGCAGCTTGATGAAGCTAATAGGTTAACAAACTGTTTCAGCCTACTTATACCTAATTGTTTAAAGGACAGTTTAAATTTTGAAGACTAGCTGGTTCACATTCTGCTGAATTCATTTAAAATTTTTAATTTACATGCTTGTTCGCTGTATTATTTATCCATCTTTTACTGTTTGCTGTAGTTATTAGTTGCAGGGAAAAATTGAGGATGCAGTCGTTAATTAACGAGTTACGCCACAATGCTGAAAAAGAAAAAGTGCAACAATTGGAAACATTTCAAGCAGAAAATCGACAATTAATAGCAACAATCGAAAGTTTGCAAAAGGAATTAGCCGATCGGTAGCTTTCACATTATTCTTATAGCAAATTTTCGAATTTTATCTAATTACTGTTATTGTTAAACCTCTTATAGCAATGCAGGTTTCCTTGTCACATTCCAACACAGTTAGAAGGAGGTACTGATTCAAGGCTGAGCTTAGTTTGAAAGAATTATCATTTGCCAGTAACTTTATGAACTTATTAAAGAATCAGATTTGTTGTTCCTTTTTAAATTTTTGATATCTACACTGCTAACTGAGAAGAAGGAAATAACTTACCAACTAGATTATTGAACGCTTTCAGACAAATACTGTTAGAGTCACAAAGTGAAAAAATAGGTGACCTGGATCGAGAATTGGTAACGGTAGAACGGCAATGCAAGGACCGTGCACCGCAACTTTCAAATGACGAAGAGGTTAGTAGTTTTTCATTGTTGAATAAGCTATTCTTGATAAAAAGCACCAGAAAATCTACTTTTTAAAAATTAACGGCTATCAGACTATATTTTTCAGCTTGCTGAAGCGAGAAAAGAGATTGAATCTCTTCTTCGAATGGTGCAAACACTTGAGAAAGAAAAGGCTTCTATAATTTCGCATTGTAAACAGCTGCAAAGGCATTTTTTTGAATTTTCAATCTTTATATTATTTCATCTCTCCTTCCGTTAAAAGTTCCATTAAAAGAGAATCTTTTGAAAGGTTATTGGGTAAGTTTTCAACTGGAAGTTCATCTCAATTCTTTTTAGCAAATTGGAAGATATTCACAAAGGTGATGCCGCTTCGATAATTGGTCAAACTCGACCCGAATTTTCTGCTCTCACAACCAAAGGATCTTTTAAATCTAGGTTTGATTGTTCATTTTATATATCATTTTTTAAAAATATTTTCTGAATTTTTTGCTGATTTTAAAACCATTACTTTTTATTAAAATGTCTTTCCGATTTTATAGGGTGGAGGAACTAGAAGAAGCATTGCGTGAATCAGTAAGTATAACAGCTGAAAGAGAGCTTCATGTGGCCCAACAAAAACAGCTTAGTCAACAACTTGCTGCTCAAGTATATTTTACCTATTTCCTTTTTTTTAAATAAATTATGTTTAATTCCATAGAATAAAATTTAGTAGCGTTTCGGATTTTTTTATGATATAAATCTTACAGCTTTTTTTCAAAATGTAGCCAATTTAAGTTAACCGAATGTCGCCGTGAATTAAACGAACTTCGACGACATGTAAAAAAATTGACAAGTAATGAACGGGAAGAAGTGTTGCGTTCTTTGGAAGTTGAAAAACGAAGGCATATTGAGCAGCTGCTGCAGTTAAAGTTAGATTTCTCGAGAATTTATGTAGAGAAGAATAGTTTACTTTGGATTCACTCGAAATTTACACACTATTATGATTATGCGGAATTCATAGGCATGAAGCGTTGGTAGCAGCAATTGCCGAAAAAGATGCTCACATTGCGTTATTGGAGCAATCCAGGGAGAGACCACGAGAAGAGATAGAGACTCTGCGCCATCATAAAGAAAAACTGATGGAAAAATTGAAAGAGGAAAACGAACGTCGTGCTCAGCTTCTCAGTTCTACTAATTTAAGCGTAGGTAAGCGATCGGCATCGCAAGTAATTGTTTTCAAGAACCAAAATTCAGGATTTTAAAAAGAAATATATATGAAATTTTTATTCATTTTAGAAATTCGAATTTTTTATTTCACTTGTTTTGTGAATATTTTAGCAAACGATCTCTCAAGAGAAGGCGGTCTTACAACAGTCACAGCAGTCAATGCTCCAGCAAGTCTTACTATATCGCAACAAGCTATTGCTGATCAGGTTGAGCTTCTTTTTGTACAAAATCTTTTATTTAGAGGCCAGTTACACTATTTTTTGTCTAGTAGCCGTGTCCGACGTGATTTACCGTTGCATATATTAAACAGTGACAAATTGCTCATTTTTGCAAATTTTGCTTAATTTTTAAATTTCTTTTTAAAAGTCATCCCACAGTCTTGATTTATTGATTTAATTCTTTAATTAGAAAGGATCGCGTTTATTTTGACAATGAATTTTTAGACGAAATTAACTTTTTGATCTTCGACATAAAGTAAACTATAACTCTATACACAATACTTGGCTTGTGAATTTCTTGTAGGAAGACGACGCGGAAGGTATTTGGGCATAGAAGCATTTCAAGTGAAAAATGAATATAGAAAGTTTAACTGCCGTATTTTGTTTCATCCATTCATATCTTCAGTTGTTCAACAGTTTTCACTTCGCTTCATCATTTGTACGGGTTTTTACAATTTGCAGACATCTGCCAGATATCGGGTCTTTGAGAGTTTATATCTTCTTATGATGTAAGCCACCTCACAATTTGTTCGCGATCTATATTTGCAAAGTACTTTGTACACTCACCTGTAATTGATATTAGAAAATTTATTCATCCGTACTAACTTGAATTATGTTTTAAGTTGTTTTGGCTTCTTTTTGTAACCTCTATATCGAAAACACCTTTATAAAGATGTTTTCGATGTAATCAAACCATCACTTTCGTTCAGTTAACTGTTGATATTTAATATCTTTAGGATTGATTTACAACTTTTTAGAGAAAGTGGTATTTCTTTGATATTATCTGTAGTTTCAGAAGCAAACTATTATTAAACATTTCTCATTTCAGTTGAAATCTTTTTGGTAGTGAGGCTATTTGAATTTATTTCAGGTCTAAGCAACCATGTTCATCTGTGCTTGCTTGTTTCATTGTTGCGCACTTTACTGTGAATTTCGAAATAAGTTAGCTGTTTTGAAAGGTTTTCCTTTGTGATTTGAAGATAAATACTTTGGTAGCACAAAAAAGAAATAAAAAATAAATAAATTTCAAAATATAAGAGAGAAGGATACTGGCGGTTTACATATCTTCACATCATATTTCTTTGGAATGAAATTTAATTCACTTTCGAAAACAAAGTTAAGTTGTGCTGCATTTGCTTTCTATTATTCATGATGTTTCTCCTTATGAGTAGTGTCCTATATTAATAAAAAATTTATAAGGTTTATGAAGGCTTATAAAATGATTAAAAGTGATATCCTGCGTTCCACCAAAACAGACCTAACTGATAACTGGAATTTTCGATATTTAACAAAACAGTAAACGCATTTTCTCTCCAGCGGTGTTAGGTTTTAATTTACATAATAATTTTTGGGAAGCCCAAATTTTGTGATACAAAATTATTCACATGAGTAAAGATTTTGTATCATTGATAAGCTAAGGAAGTTGCTCTGCAAAATTTTTCGTCAATATTAAATTTGATTTGTCATATGATCTCTTTTTTGTTGCTAGAATGTCATTGATAGTTATTGCTTTATAACATTTCTCGATATTAGATGTTTATGTTTTTTATATATAATACAAATTCAGTTAACGAGTAATCAAACAATTTCCTTTATTCCCATCGCTTCTTTCTTCCCTTGCATGACACCATCTAATAATGAGGTTATCTATTAAGTCCATTATCTACTATCTTCTTATCACCCAGTGTTGGATGTATATAGTTACTATATGGATACACATATCATCTGGGACTTTCCTAAAACAAGACGTGTGATCCTTTCTCCGAACAAAGTGATTCAATTAAACCCCTACAAATCAATCGTCAGGAATTGGCCTATTCATCACCGTTAGTTGTCAGTATCTGTACAGTTGAATTTTATTGGTTTAGAAGGAAAGCACATGTATTTGCAATTGATAGTGTTAAGTTCACCAGTGAGTTAAATTTTAGGCTCTGAATGATAAAATAATTTTTGTATGCTCTGTTATGGGTTTGCGATTGAACGTGTAGGCTTTATTTATATATAAGAAATGCCATGGAAGTTTACCTACCTGTTTCGAAAAATTTATGAATTGAGAATTATATTCCAGAGTGCTGCAGGATGTAGCTCACGTAGTTGAAAGAATAAAAATTTTACATGCACTGGACAGCTATAGATGAACAGGGGAAATCAGTTTAACTTTCAAAAATACATCATTTTTGTATTCAGTGCTATGGGTTTTAAGCTAACAAGAGGAACAGATTGACAAATATTGCAATATCAAAAAAAAAAATCGGATAATGAGAGTTACGAGAGAAGAGGAACTAACTGTACTTACATAACTTTCTCAATAAATTGCTTATCATAGGTTTTTCATTTTCTCGAATTTTATTTCAAAATTTTCTCGAATTTTATTTCAAAATTTTCTCAAATTTTGGAATAAAATTATTTGGATGATGAAATGGAACTGAACTTTTAAGAGATATGATTCTTTAAGAGGTATGATTTTATTCTTTTGGCTAGAAATTTAGTCGTTTTTTAATGAGCCAGGAATTGGGAAAGATATTTTTATTCAGAGCTTTTCATCTTTTCAATTTCAAAATTCTAAATATTTGAAATTACTGCTGAATATTTTCCTATTTCAATTACGAGTTTGTTGCATATTTTAATTTTGATTTTCATTCTCTCTTATGAAAATTTTTAGTAAATCTAAAAAGCAATTATTAAGATAGAATAATGAGCAAATTTGACAAATTCATTTCATTTCGCTTGAACTGTGTAACTTTTGAGTTTAGGCATGAAGGAAATTTATCAGATATTTCTCCAATTTACTGAAAAAAAAGGAACTGGAATGGTCGCAAAATGAGCATTCCCAATAAATTGTACTTTTTATTTGTTTGGAAAGAATGATTTTTCATCATACATCTTTTTACGAAAGGAAATGTTAAGTTTCACTTGACTTCGAGGCTCGAGAAGAATTCTTTGGAACAAAGAGGAAAGTTTTGTGGGAAGTTTTAAATAGTTTTATTTGCATTCTTCTATTATTATGCGGTTTTATTTTACCATCGCTGAGCATGCTGCAACTATCATTGCCGATTGCTTTTATTGTTTGTTCATCACGCTATCATCTTGCACAGGACAGAAGCACAGGGACAGCTCAATCTTCCTGTTTTCCTCCTGCCACATTTCAGAGGTCAAAGTTCAACTTACTTCACTAACCGTTTGTTCTATGTTATACTGTAGTTCGCAATTTGCTTCATCTCTAATGATTTTGCGTAATTTCTTGCTTTCTGATATTGATTCTCATGAGATTAGAATCAACATCAGAAAGCAAGAAATCTTCAATATCATCTTCAGTATCGTTATTGGTATGGGTTTTCGAAGATGACCTCTGATATTGATTTTTCGTCAAATTGGCAGATGTTCATCTGTGATGTGGTAGTCATTTCAATATCGAGTTATGTCCTCTTCTAGTATTAATAGAGCGGTCAGTTAAGAGAGTCATCTATTACAAAATTAATTGTTAACTTAAAAATTGTATATTAATAAATAATTTTATGTCTATGTATCATCGTGTATTACGCGTATTACTTTTCTAAACCAAAATTTCATTAAAATTGAAATAAAACTTCAGAAAAAGGACTTATTGAGTAAATGACGTGCATGTTTTAAAGAGTTCATTCCAATATCTGTTTTTATCAGCTCCACGGATCTTTTTTTTACAAAATATTTTATACATGAATTATTATATTTAAAAAATGTTTTGCTCAAGAACATTTGAGGAGTAAAAATTTTTCCTTTTTTTTTATTACACAAAAAAAGAGACTTGTCAGCATCTTCTTATTATCTCTTTCATCTCTCTCATTTAATAATGCTAGATTTATATGTGATCCTCACCTATCCGTTTAGTAAAATGTCCATTTTTCAGATGAACTTACTATTATCCAATTAATATAACTTCTTTCCTTGAATCCACCCGAAATGTTTCGCATCATATTTTCACTTCCACTTGTATTAGGTAAACATAGATTGGTAACATATCATGTACAACGTACAATGTACAATTGTTTATTGTTTATAGGAAGCATATAGAGAATTGTATAAATACGAATGCTAATAATAATTGAACCCGTTGATAAAAAATGAAAAGTCTCCGCACATTGACTCTGTCTAATGATAGAGTCAATGTGCGGAGAAATTTGAACGGGTTCCATTCTCCATCTAATCCATCACAATAACATTACAACTCATACCTTTTTTTTTCCACTTTTTAAATGGTTGATGTCTTTGAAGGGATTGTATATAAATGCCACAATTTTGCAGCAGCAATTCAAAGTGCCATGAATGAGTGAATGTGTTTGCACTGTTGCAGATACAATCATCGAGTTTTAACGTCATCATTTCCTTTCTCTCATTGAATTTCATATGTATGTTTATAATTTTAGCTTATAATTTTCATGCCTAGCTGCACGATACATAATTAAATCTCCTTAAGCTAAGCTATTATCTACTCCTTTATTTCCATTATATCTCCTTTTCTTCTCTCTCTCTCTACTTCAAATTCCTTTTAAGTTTGCAACAAATCTTTTCCCTATACTATTACTATTTTGATATTCAAATTTTATCTAGTATTGCATTAATTAGTAGCCCTTTAACTAAACATTCAATTATCAAAGCAAAACAACATTCATTTAATGCATATTCATTCATTGTAAGCAATTTATGATGCATTTTTTTCCTTTTAATTTGAAAATTTATTTTTCTGCCTACTGTGTTGTTAATGTTACAATTTTAGCAATCATTGAATGCATATTTTACTTGGCAACAGTTTGATGTATTACACCTGACTCATTTATTCATTTTTTGTTAAATTTCGCAGTTGAAACGAAAAATGCGTGAACACGTAGAACGTCATGTGAAAATTGCTAATCCATTAAGAGATGCTTCCGTTGATACAACAACCACATTATCACATAGTGATGCTATCGATAGGTAATTCTTCTCTTTCTTTGCATGAATTGGAGAGAGAATTTCTTGCAGAATATATATTGTCAACAATTTTTGAAAATAATTTTGTAGTTTGAGGAATGCAATTTCATTTCATATTTCTCCGATTTACCCAAAATTTATCCGTTCTCCGATTTATATAAAATGCATAATATGCATTT